TGTGTGTGCAGAATATGCTTTCTATCTACTCTCGTATGCACGTAGTTAGCATTTCACCGAAAATCTGAAAGTATCCTTCCGATATCAGCTAATCCTTTTTCATATACACCTGTATAATTCTGTTGATATTTCCTCCCTTTTGATTTGAAGTCCTTAACACACCATTTCTCTCTCCTCCCCGCTTCGCCCTCGACCCAAGCCTCGGGCGTGAAGGTTCTCAACGTCGAGTCTAACTTGGATCAGCTGACCCCCGGATTGCTGCCTGGGGCGGGCGACGGGGCGGGCGCGGTGCTCCAGCGGCCGCGGTTTCCCCACTCGTCCGACTACACAGCCTGTTTGAGGTTTCAGTTTGCAAGACTCCAGAGGGTTAACATTTTGCTCAGGGTGTCGACGAATGGCACTCGACCACTCCTGCAGTTGGGTAGGTTTTGTGGTCCTTTCATGCGTTTTTTGATCATTTTGTTCTTTGGTATGGAACTGTATAATCGTCTAAATTTCTTAGATTAGTAATTATGTAGACGGATACACACCCAATAAGGCATCAATATTATATATATATATATATATATATATATATATATATATATATATGTGTGTGTGTGTGTGTGTGTGTGTGTGTGTGTGTGTGTGTGTGTGTGTGTGTGTGTGTGTTATATGTACACACACACACACACACACACACACACATATATATATATATATATATATATATATATATATATATATATATATATATATATATATATATATATATATATATATATATATATATATATATATATATATATATTATATGTGTGTGTGTGTATACATATATGTATATATATACATATCTATTTATATACATAATATATATATATATATATATATATATATAATATATATATATATATATATATATATATATATATATATATATATATATATATATATATATATATATATATATATATATATATATATATATATATATATATATATATATATATATATACATGTAAGAGAGGGAGAGAGAGAGAGAGAGTTTATAAATATGCAAATGCTCAACTTATCCCCAATCTTCTTAAACCCATTAAATATCTCATAAGATTTAACGGGTCTTTCGCTACAGTGCCTCTGTATTTTCAGATATCAATGTCGAGAAGTTAAGGGTCGTAGCAGCCTACCAATATCGGTATCTATACTTGGAGAGATGGCTGCAGACAAGGAGGTGGTATTCTGCTTGTCTGATGTATCGACGTGCTAACCAAACTGTTGCAGGTGTTGTAGACGGTCGAATCGTTGCTGAGACTAATGTAGTTGAAGTGACAACGACACCAGCCACAGCCATCACTTTTGGATTTATTGAACCTAATATACACCCTGCTATATCGTTCATTGGTAATATAACTCAGTTTAATATTTGGTCTAGAATTCTGAGTGAGGATGAACTGAGTGATCAGGCCTCTTGCAGAAGCTCAGCACTGGGTGATTTTGTTAGCTGGGAGGAGGAATGGAGCGTACAAAATGCAATACAGTATGACCTGGACCTCAGTGACTTGTGTCCAAAAGAGGCTCCTTTAGGGTTCCAAATTTTCCCAGTTATGGGTCATCAAGAAGGGACCCACGTGTGTGAAGCCCTGGGAGGGACACTCACAGTCCCGAATAGCATGGCCGAAGTGCAGCATATGTACCTTTCGACCCAGAGGCGGAGAAAGAACTGTAAGCTCATTTGGATTGGCGTGACGGACGAAGGAGAAGAAGGAGTCTGGCGCAAGGAACGGAGCGGCACACTCGCTCCCGATCTTCCTTGGGCCTTCGATGAGCCTAACGGACAGCTATACGAGAACTGCGGTGGCATTGACTTCGAAGGAGTAATTGACGACAACTGTAATGCAAAAAGGTGCCCTCTCTGCACCGTCGCAGATAATGTAGCCATGGTACTAAGGGGGTCATGTGAGGAACACACTCACAATATGAACTTGATGATGTTTTTAAAGAATGATGGAATGGTTTTCGAGGGATATGGTGACTACAGGATAATTCTCACAAATGGAACTTGGATTTGGCTCGACGCCGTCCACAACACCACCATCGGACAGATGATCCTCTCCCGCTACAACTACCCACTCGGAAGGCAACGGTGGAAGCTGCATCAGCCGGTGTGTGGCCAGCAGGCGGGACAAGTGCGACAGCTGCTGATAACCATGTGTCAAGATGGACAATATACCTGTGATGATGGCACCTGTATTCCTCACAGTAAAAGGTGTGACATGAAATACGACTGTTTCGATTCTAGTGACGAAGCAGAGTGTGAGTTGATACGACTTCCTCCAGAGTATAAGGTGATTTTTCATCTCATTGCTACATACATATTTGCAAACATCCATCGATACTTGCGCTAGATTATGCTACAGTATACAACTAGTATATAACTGTATGAGGATATAGGTATTTATAGCACTGGCTCAGACTTACCTGTTATGATTATATATATATATATATATATATATATATATATATATATTATATATATATATATATATATATATATATATGTATATACATATATATATATACATAGACACACACACACACACACACACACATATATAATTGTTAGTAAGATTCCCTTCCAGACAAGCGTGGCACCCAGACCTATAAGTAATGGCACCCAAGGAGAAGGCACAAAGATGCTGCAGATCCTGGCCAACATAAGCCTTGAGAACCTCCGCGTGGACACCTCCGAGATGCTTCTAGAAACCTCGTTCAACCTTAGCCTCACGTGGTACGAGACGCGAGCGGTCTACGTTAACCTTAAGACTCAAGTGAGGTAAGATTTTTTAAAGAATGTTTTAATTCCATTTGTTACTGTGGATATTATTTTGCTGTGACATGATGTCCGTTTTATATTGCTTCTAAATTTCCCCATGTGGACTTACCATCCACTGGTAGCGCGCAGGATCGAGCCCAGGTCTGCAAGATTGCTAGCCAAGGACGCTGACCGTTGCACCTCGCAGCTAATCTCGTGTCATCTATCCTCGTTTTTTTTTTTTTTTTTTTTTTTTAAGATGCAGACTTTTTCTTTATTCGACCACCTTGTATATGACGATGTATTCAGCCTTTAATATCATTTTAATTTTCATCACATTAAATAGCGGTCATTAATTATAGGAAATGATGAGATTTGTCAATCTAAAAATTACTGGTGAATTAGTCTAATCATTACGATTATCATTATTATTATACTTTTTATTTTCATTTTCTCATCATAATCCTTATCGTTATTATCATTCTTATTATTATCATCACTATTATCATTATAATTTCGATTTATTTTTTTATTTAAATCGATTTAATAATTTATTTCTAAAATTATCATTATTGTTGTTGCTATGATTATGCCCTTATCCATATCATTACTATTGTAGTTATCACTATCATAACTGCAGCTATCTTCCTCAACATCGTTACTATACTTATAACCATATCAATGTAGTTACAATTATCATCATCCAAATATCCGAACTCCCAGCCTGAACCTGGTCGACACGAGCCGGGTGGGGCTGTGGCGGCCGAGCGTCGGCTTCCTCAACACGGTCGACAACGCCGTGTCCGTTGACCCAGCAGCACCACAGTCGAGAGGCGCGGCCGCTCCAAGGGCGCCGACAACGCGGTCGCCGGGGAAGGTGGGGCTCCAGATGCCAAGTTCTCTGCTTTCTGAATGGACTTTGCTTCACTCTAAGTCACATAAATAGATGGGTGAATAGATATATAGATACCAAAGGGCTATAGCATCAACGTATTACTGTTTAATAATACTAAAGCCCTTGATTTTGATTGAAAAGGTTGTTGTTAACTATTTCCATGTTCCTGTTTCCCATACAGCCTTTAATTTTGTCTATGTGTGATGCCACCCACCCTACTTATGCGGGAAATTCCATCCCCTTGGTTGGTCAACATGACATGTGGAATCTTAAAGGGCAGTGATTATTAAATATCACAGTGTATCATAATTTACGAAAATGTTACTATCAGTGGGGTTACCAGTTTTATCATATAACCTCATTTTCGTGGTTACAGCCCATAGTAAGGAGAGGGAGGATAAAGAAAGGTAAAGAGATGAGGTTGGATGTAGGAGTGCAACATTGCCACATGTATAGGATTTCAGCAACAGAACCTTTGAGGATATAAGTACAAATCTCTGCATTAATGTTTATATATACCTACACATCTCACTCCATCTATCCTACCTACACCTTGCCAGTCCGTCTCTACCTGGGGAGCGAGAACCCCATCGTGAGCAGCCGGAAGTACCAGGCCTCACGACTTCGACCTGACCAGCTACCCGTTCGACCACCAGACGTGCTTCATGAAGCTGCAGCTTCAGTCGGCCTTCCGTGATGACGTCAGGTGAGCCTGGCATGTGCATGGCGCATTCGCTATAACTGTCTTCTTGCATATCAGATGTAAATTTGGGTATAACAAGCTGTAGCGTTCTATACAATTACATAGAATATGTCCTTTGATGACTTAAATTCAGAAACTTTTATATTCATATGCTGTGTACCCTTATCATTACCATTGACAATCTAATAACGATGGTAGCATTTTTTCTGGGTACTCATAATGATAGCAATCATTCATTACATATTCAATGAACCACACTTTTATTAGTCTGCGAAACACTTTTTTCCAGAAACAGAATTAGTTATTTCTTTATGTGTTGTAAATTACACAGATGGGACGTGGAAGGAAGCCAGGTACAGTACTTGGGAAATCCTCTCCTTCTCGAATACGAGCTAGGATCTTTCTTATCTTGCCAAAGTCATCAGCGAGGGACGATACTATCCTTTTGGTAAGGTTCAAGTTCATTAGAGAGAGAGAAAGAAAGAATAAATTACATTCGTTATATGTTCATATAATATACTTTTGCAATTAATGCAATGCATTATTAAAAATTCCAATGATTTTGTTATTTTCATCGTTACATATGTACGTACCTTCAGGTGAGCATCCCAATGACACGCCTTGTTGGTTACGTCGTCATCAGCATCTACCTGCCGTCCCTCATCATGCTGATGATTGGTTACCTGACGCTTTTCTTCCTCAACGACAACTTCGAGGTTCGAGTCATGACGGCTCTTACCACGCTCTTGGTGATGGCTACTCTCTTCACGCAGGTTGGTGACAGATGGTTTGCTTGATGATGAGAAAAGTCATAAAATGGAAATCAGCAATATTGCAATTCTTTTCGTTCTTTATTGAAAATTATGTTGTCAGCAATTATTCCTTTCATGTTGAATTTACAGGCGTCTTCTGATACCGTGTCAATCTGGAAAAATTATTTTGTGTAAATTTCATATTAACTCCTCAACATAAAAATCAGTCACATAGTATATGTTCAAGAATAGACCTTATCTGAAACCTACAGATGATCACAGATGTGTTGTATACTTTCAACTGTGTCTCCAGGTATCTTCATCCCTTCCCAAAACCTCCTACTTCAAACTAGTGGACGTGTGGCTGCTCTTCTGCATCTTCTCCACATTCCTCGTCATCGTCTTCCACATCATCATCGACCTCTCACTCCACAACGAAGGGACGACGAATAGCACCGCTCAGACGAAGGTCAAGGCTGGCCCCCTCCCACGTCGATCTGTGGCACTTCGGGGCAACACGAACGTGGCACCTTTCTTGCCTCCTTCCCCTTCTACAGGCATGGCACTTGAGGCATGCAGAATACCCAAGAAGATTCCCTCAAAAGTTGGGTGGTTCCAGAAGATGTCAGTGCCAGATATAGAGAGGTTCGCCCGTTGGCTGATGGCTGCTGTATTTCTGGTGTTCAATGTTTTTTATTGGTTGAAGGCATATGGCTTTGTGTAATATACTAATGGTGTTTCCCACCTTTTCACATTCTTAAGATTATTCAATGTTATCAGTATGTGTGCAGTATAGGCAATTAACTTTTTCAGATCCCTTTCCCATCATTTCTATATAGATTTTCTTTCTATTTGACCATTTCTTAAACCTTTTTTGGTCCAATTGATATTCGCTGCATGTGTTTCACTTTGTCCATTTTTATCATATGGATACAGAAAAATAATTATTCTGTATTTAGGCCTGTATTTGTTTCCATTTTTTAATATCGTATCTGCTTCTATCTTAAAAAATAGTTATACTTATATACAAATATTAATCAATTCATGTACGGGAATGTATACAAATACTTCTTCCATATTTGTATGTAAAAACTGTTCTTTTTATTCTAAAATTCCTGTAATAACACCAGAGTTTATAATATTATAAATATCATAGTCTATACTATGCACATTTTGGGACAAATGTATTTGAGTAATCCTAGGAAATTATTTAAAGCTTCTAGATGATACCTGTTCATTTCATGTACAGCTACACAGAAAACTGTCGTGAGGAGGGGTGTCAATATCGAACAGAAAATTACGTTACGGAAGGGTTGGTATTTTAGGTTTCGAATTTGTCTCGTTCTGATTCATGTCTCGAACAGTCGTTCCAGAATTCCTGTGGATTTACTGTGAGATGATTTTATTTCCATAAGGAATGGAATTCGCCTAAAATGTTTAAATAAGCTACACATACCCGAAAGTAGTTGGAAAATCAGGGATACCAACAGTTTGGTACCATTAACAACAATATTTCATAAGTATTGTTACTCATTTCAGAATGTTTAACATGGTTTTCTAATCATATTTTTCATCATAGCTATACATCACACTTTTTATTGTAAAAAGTGTAATGTACACTGGACCATATGTCCATATTTCCTGAGTTGGCAGTTCCGGGTAGCGCAGAAAATAAGCCTTACATTTGTCCTATGATATAATCTATGGTTGGACACGTGACCGCTACAAATGTTCGATACAAGGTCATTTTGAAATAGGCAACAAAATTAGATTCAAAGTACAGAAAGATTCCAGCCTTTGCTTACATAATGTAGAACCAATGCTTCGTAGACATGTAACCTAGTGCCTGATACATTAGTCAAGTGACTTCAAGGCTCCTGCTTACTTCCTGGTCCGATAGCTCAGAGTCAGGAACTACGCAACCACTTTGTTGTACCGTCAGTGCCACTACATAGGCTTTGATGGATTTACAATACACTAATTGGAATATCTTGAAAAAATATATAGGCTGCAAGCAGCTCACAGCCAAACTCATAATGACATTCTACAATAATTCGTGGCACAAGGATAGTCTGGTGGATTTGCCAGGAGTGAGTCTGGAGTGCTCTAAGGTCTGGTCCCTCAGTAGATGGTAGGTATATCTTATTATGACGAAAGCAAGCACTTATGCTGATATGACTGCCACTGTCCCAGCAACACCCTTTCTTCTTCTCAAGATGTCTCAAATGCCTTCAGCAAAGATGGCAGGACAGCATGCAATCCACGGGTTCCTCCGGACTTCGACATTTCAGTTGTTTTACTACCCTTCATCTTGGAAATTGCCCCCGAACTTCTGACAGGGTTGAAAGTTTCTCAATAACGGGGGATAGGGCAGTAGGACCACACCTCTTTCCCGTAAACTTGTTTTTGGTTCAACCTGGAAAAAGTCCTCAATAGACATCCAAAGCACTCACATCCCAATATGATCTAGGGTGATTTATATATCTACTGAGTGAACTCTAGTCACATACAGGGAGGGATTTGTGTTCAGTTTTCCCAGGGCATGGAAGGCAGGACGAAGGACATTTACAAAGAAATCGTCTTCAGCTTCCTCAGCAACATTTCTCAAGTGCCATGCCTTGTCCTACCTCAACAGTGTCCAAGTCCTTTACAGCAGGGACCAGTGCAAGTCCTTATCTCCAGCCATTTGTACTGTGCGACTTACTTCCATAGCCTCTGGTGTCCTGCCACGGTCTCCTGCATTCGCCAATGGACTTCTGCAGGCATCAAGTGTTTTGTGTTTGTGCCCCACTGTGGTACAGGGTCTGGCATGATTAAGGATAGCCATGGCACAACCTCCGTCACTCATTCCTCAGTCCATCTATCACTTGGCAGACATCCACCTGTCACTTGGCAGACATCCACCTGTCACTTGGCAGCACCTGTCACTTGGCAGACATCCACCTGTCACAGTGTCACTTGGCAGACATTGTCACTTGGCAGACATCCACCTGTCACTTGGCAGACATCCACCTGTCACTTGGCAGACATCCACCTGTCACTTGGCTTCACTTTGGCAGCACACAGCACCTGTGTGGCAGACATCCACCTGTCACAGTCACTTGCAGCACCTGTCACTTGGCAGACACCTGTCACTTGGCAGGTCACTTGGCAGACATCACCTGTCACTTGGCAGACTAGGATGTTTTAAAATCGACCAGGAGGGCAGCCACAACCAATCTTTCACTGGAACTACTGATATCTACTCTCTGGTAAACCCTGCAGTTCTAGAGGATCCTCTCGTAAGAGATAGGAAGGATACCATCATTGATACCAGAAATCTTTAATCTCTCCCATTACATCGCCTTCGTTGTGTTCACATAAAAGCCAATTTTAAAAATGGACTTAAACATTACACATTTTAGTATTGCAGATTTTCCTAGTGTACACTACCAAAATTAAAGGTGAGGTAGGCCATATGCATCGTAAATTCATTAAGCAATATTCAAGAACAGCCCAATTTCTACGTTCATATAATGATTACAGCAGGGACCAGTGCAAGTCCTTATCTCCAGCCATTTATACTGTGCGACTTACTTCCATGGCCTCTGGTGTCCTGCCACGGTCTCCTGCATTCGCCAATGGACTTCTGCAGGCATCAAGTGTTTTGTGTTTGTGCCCCACTGTGGTACAGGGTCTGGCATGATTAAGGATAGCCATGGCACAACCTCCGTCACTCATTCCTCAGTCCATCTATCACTTGGCACCTGTCACTTGGCAGACATCCACCTGTCACTTGGCAGACATCCACCTGTCAGACATCCACCTGTCACTTCATCCACCTGTCACTTGGCTGTCACTTGGCAGACATCCACCTGTCACTTGCAGCACCTGTCACATCCACCTGTCACTTGGCAGACATCCACCTGTCACTTGGCAGACATCCACACCATCCACTGTCACTTGGCAGACATCCACCTGTCACTTGGCAGACATCCACCTGTCACTTGGCAGACTAGGATGTTTTAAAATCGACCAGGAGGGCAGCCACAACCAATCTTTCACTGGAACTACTGATATCTACTCTCTGGTAAACCCTGCAGTTCTAGAGGATCCTCTCGTAAGAGATAGGAAGGATACCATCACTGATACCAGAAATCTTTAATCTCTCCCATTACATCGCCTTCGTTGTGGTCACATAAAAGCCAATTTTAAAAATGGACTTAAACATTACACATTTTAGTATTGCAGATTTTCCTAGTGTACACTACCAAAATTAAAGGTGAGGTAGGCCATATGCATCGTAAATTCATTAAGCAATATTCAAGAACAGCCCAATTTCTACGTTCATATAATGATTACAGCAGGGACCAGTGCAAGTCCTTATCTCCAGCCATTTATACTGTGCGACTACTTCCATGGCCTCTGGTGTCCTGCCACGGTCTCCTGCATTCGCCAATGGACTTCTGCAGGCATCAAGTGTTTTGTGTTTGTGCCCACTGTGGTACAGGGTCTGGCATGATTAAGGATAGCCATGGCACAACTCCGTCACTCATTCCTCAGCCACAGACATCTGTCACTTCCATCACCAGCACCTGTCACTTGGGGCAGCTGTCACTTGGCAGGTCACTTGGCAGCACCTGTCACAGACACACCTGTCACTTGGCAGACATCACCTGTCACTTGGCCTCACTTCACACCTGTCACTTGCAGACATTGTCACAGACATCCACCTGTCACTTGGCAGGTCACTTGGCAGACATCCACCTGTCATGGCAGACATCCACACTTGGCAGACATCCACTTCACACTTGGCAGACATCCACCTGTCACTTGGCAGACATCCACCTGTCACTTGACATCCACCTGTCACTTGGCAGCATGTCACTTGGCAGCACACAGACATCCACCTGTCACTTGGCAGACATCCACACTTGGCAGACACTTGTCACTTGCAGACATCCACCTGTCACTTCACTGGCAGACTAGGATGTTTTAAAATCGACCAGGAGGGCAGCCACAACCAATCTTTCACTGGAACTACTGATATCTACTCTCTGGTAAACCCTGCAGTTCTAGAGGATCCTCTGATAGAGATAGGAAGGATACCATCACTGATACCAGAAATCTTTAATCTCTCCCATTACATCGCCTTCGTTGTGGTCACATAAAAGCCAGTTTTAAAAATGGACTTAAACATTACACATTTTAGTATTGCAGATTTTCCTAGTGTACACTACCAAAATTAAAGGTGAGGTAGGCCATATGCATCGTAAATTCATTAAGCAATATTCAAGAACAGCCCAATTTCTACGTTCATATAATGATTACAGCAGGGACCAGTGCAAGTCCTTATCTCCAGCCATTTATACTGTGCGACCTACTTCCATGGCCTCTGGTGTCCTGCCACGGTCTCCTGCATTCGCCAATGGACTTCTGCAGGCATCAAGTGTTTTGTGTTTGTGCCCCACTGTGGTACAGGGTCTGGCATGATTAAGGATAGCCATGGCACAACCTCCGTCACTCATTCCTCAGTCCATCTATCACTTGCAGGTCATGGCAGGTCACTTGGCAGCACCTGTCACTTGGCAGCATCCACCTGTCACTTGCAGACATCCACTGTCACTTGGCAGACATCACCTGTCACTTGGCAGACATCCACCTGTCACTTGCAGACAGTCACTTGGCAGACATCCACCTGGGGCAGACTAGGATGTTTTAAAATCGACCAGGAGGGCAGCCACA